AACTGTCAAACTGGTGAGCTATGTGTTAGGCTGAATAATTTCATTAGGTACACAAACTTCCATCTTGCCTTCATTTGAATATTTTTAGTCATTTCTTTATCATGTATGATCATCATCATAAACAGTTTTCTGCTTCTCTTTTTTATGGTCTGTACAGTAACAAATGAGAAAAACGTCACAATGTGGTAATAACATTAGTGACACACTTTATAGCTGAACCTTGTCTTTTTAGTTGTTGTTTCTCACATTTAGATGTCATCCGTGATGTAGAACAGACGCACGACAACATTCAATCTATTTGTTAATTAAATAGAGAACTGATATTTAATTATATATACAGATGTGGACGAGTGCACAGGTTCTCCTTGCAAAAACGGTGCTCTATGTCAAAATGTTCCCGGCAGTTATCGATGCAGTTGTAAATCAGGATTTGCGGGCAGAAACTGTCAAAGAGGTTTGTGGACTCGAGAGACTACCTTTCACGGACTAACTGAACTTTCATCCCCTCATAGGCATATTTGTGACTCCCCTATATTTAATTATATCGCAAAAACAAACAAACAAATAATTATAATCCAGAGAAAGAGATAGTATTAACTTTAGGCAAGAAATGTCATATTTCATATTGTACTCTCATATTTAAATATTGACGAACGAATGTGCTGGATCTCCTTGTAAAAACGGCGCTAAATGTGTAAATATTCTCGGGAGTTACCGGTGTAGTTGTAAAGCAGGTTTCATAGGAAGGAACTGCGAGACAGGTCAGCTAGTCCGCTCTCCTTTTAATTCCACTACCTTTCTACAATCAATCTATCCATTTAGATTTAAACGATTTTTTGTAATATTTCTGGAGGAGTTAATTTCATCAATTTGTTAACGTGTTTAATAAGTGTCAAGAATTGTTTTGAAAAACAAAAAGGATGATAAACTCTAAACATAAAGTTACTTTTGAATTTCTAAATTCAAATTAAGATCACAATATTTTAATGTTACACCGGTTTTGATATGTGATAGTCTTATCTATTGAAAGAAGCAAACGAAAGGAAATGTTAGTTCTAAATATCATTGCGGTTTAAGTAATATTGACTTTAAATCTGTTATCTAGATATCAATGAATGTGCTAAGTCCCCTTGTAAGAACGGTGCTTCTTGTCAAAATATTGCTGGAAGCTACCAATGCGCGTGTAAACCTGGCTACATAGACAGGAACTGTGAGACAGGTAAGGTGCCCCGAAAGATTAAATATCATCTTTTGGCGACATAGATGAGGTTCATTTCCGTATTCTAAAAAAAGCGCCATTAAAAGTTGTGCCTCTGTCATCTTGGACGGACGGTTCTAAAATAATAATCATGTGAACTTCGATAAAGCACTGTATGTTCCTTGTAGAAATCTTGGAAAAAAGTCTTGAATAGTTGCTCTAAAATCTATACAACTAGAAAGTCCTCCATTGTCCTTATTTAATATTTGATATGTGGTTTCTTATTCCATATACAGATATAGATGAGTGCGCTAAATCTCCGTGTCAAAACGATGCCTTGTGTCAAAACCTTCCTGGAAGTTACCGATGCAAATGTAAATCCGGATATTTTGGACGAAACTGCGAAAGTGGTGAGCTTTGTCAGGCTTAAAAGTTTCATTAGGAACAACAACTTTTATCTTGCCTTCATTTGAAGTTTTTTTAATCATTTCATTACCAAGATATCGCCTTTCCTGAGAAGTACCTCAACGGAGTACCATTATCATTGTTTATTTACGTATATTTTGCGATGTACTCTTTACTGAATACCACATCAAATTTACATACTATTAAAATTCATTAAAAATCACTATTAGAAAATAAATATCATTATAATTATATACCAATTCCCGCAATCACTTAATGATGATTATTATTATTATTATTATCATTATCATTATTATTATTATTATTATTATTACTGACCTTGTTACTTACTTGTGATTTGTCTTTAGATATCGATGAATGTGTTGGATCTCCATGCAAAAACGGTGCTACTTGTCAAAATACTCCCGGAAGTCACAAATGTAACTGTAAACCCGGATTTACAGGCAGAGACTGCGGAAAAGGTGAACTTCACCCAAATGGTTATTTATTGATTTTAGATATATGAAAATTCAATTGGTAGAGCGCTGCACCGGCATCGCAGAGGTCATGGGTTCAAATCCCGTACGGGCCTGAATTTTTTTCAGGTCCTATTTACAACTACTCGTTTCAGTAGTGTTCTTAGCTGCGAGGATCTCTTTATTTCATCTTCATGGTTATTTGTTGTTACGCTAAATGTCAAAATATTCCCGGGAGTCATTTGTGCAGTTGTAAAGCAGGTTTAACAGGAAGGAACTGCGACACAGGTCAGCTAGCCCGCTCTCTTTCTAATTCCACCATCTTTCTATTTAGAATACTAAACTATTTGCAATATCACTGGAAGGAGTTAATTTCATTAATTATGCCTTTGGAACCGTATTTAATAGGTGTTCTGAATTGTTTTGAAAAAAAAGAGAAACAAAAAGGATGCCACGAGTCTAACGGGAGTAACTGTTGAAGACGATATGTCTTTCCCCTTGCATCCAAATAAGGATCATAGCCAGTTTTTATTTCTAATAGTCTTATCCATTGGAGAAAGCAAACGGAACGGGAAGGAAATGTTGGTTTTAAATATCATTGCGGTTGAAGTTACATTGATACATATAAATTTAATATCTAGATATCAATGAGTGTGCTAAATC